TTTGACCTATTAAAAATATTTTGGGGGCCAGCACATGGTATGGTGGTTAAGGCACTGGATTCCCATATGGCTGACCATGGTTTGAGTCCTGGATCCAGTGACTTGAAAATCATGCTGGGCATGCGTGCATGCATGCCAAAAGTCCTGAGAGGAGAATGGAGGAGAAGGGGTTGCAGTGTGGCCAACCCCTCTTGGGAGATGATTTCTCACTTTCCTTCTCTCTATCTCCAGCAAGTACATGTGCCCCCTGGCAAAATTCGATAAGAATGGTCGGTTGGTGTGTGTCTTCACAGTCAGATTGTGGGCACCATGGGGGACCCTCATCCTGCTTACCATTGTCCCCATGGGCTGCATGGCTCATGGTCAACATTTGACAAGTGTGACAAGTGTTGACTGTATGAACAATAACAACCAAATTCCCTTCGGTCCCTTCTCCCCATTTCATCTCTGTTCCCCCATATCTGCATTAGTTTTCAAAGAACCGGTGGATAAACATCAATAGTTCTGAAGGACGCAGCCTCAGTGGTGATAATTAAAACATAATCAATTATTTGACTTCGAGAGAACTGTTTCAGCTAATGAAGATATTAATTAAAAACATGTTCCTACTAAGATGACCCCTTGGTTCAGAAATGTGGAAATGTGAAATGTTTGCGCTCCCCACCAGCACATGGCTTTTGGCTAGAATGTACATGGTACTCAGAATGCTGTCCCTTCGGATCCTTATTTGAGCAGTAAACACATTTTTAAAACACATAATGTAGTCTCTAAAAATAAGCGGTATTTGAAAATGAAAACCAGTGCACAAGTAGTTGGCACATCTGGTAGTCAGAAAAGTTGTACAGTTTGTTTTCAGGGAATGACAAGCCAAGGAACATTCAGACTTGGCCAATTGAAAACTTTTCTTCTATCTGTGATGACACCTGGTTTTAAAAAAATTGGCTCTGGGCTCAAAGCAGAAAGAACATTGGAAATGAGTACAGAATTAAACAGCATCATTTACTATTCTGTTTTGTACCAGGAATGATAAAAAAAAATTAAATTTTTTTTTTAGTTTAAGAAAGAAAATGGAGTAAAAGAAGACCATTATAAGCATCTAACAATACTAGTAACAGTAACAAAACAGCAGCTAACATCTATTTAGTACCTACTATGTGCTGGGTGGTCAGCGTGCTGAGTGTGTTTTTTTTCTCTCACTAAATTCTTTGTCATTTCGTTTTAGATATATATATATATATATATATACACACACACACACACACACATTCAATCACTGTATATCATTACAGCATAGAAATTAATTTTCCTAGCATGGATACAGTGTATACTAGTCCAGTCAAAGATATTACCATACATGTTGTCATCAGAGGTAATTTTCCATTTTTGTGTCCCTTAACTATTTTGCTTCAGTGTGCTGAGTGTATTGTTAATACTAGACACACGATAATCTTATGAGGCGGTTTTAATTTTAATTCCTATTTTGCAGATGAGAAGACATAGGTATAAAGATGAGGTAAACAACTATTTTGGGCCTGAGCCGTGAAACTAGCAGATCCCTGGCAGGCTGTCTCTAGAGCCTACACTCCAAAGAGTTGTAGGAATCTGAGTAGTCTGGAGATGTTTTACATTTGGCGTCATGGAAAAAATTAGATGATTGCATTGAGTACAGTGGCTCTTGGTCTACCTGTTGTTTGCCTCCGCTTGCAAGATAGATGATGCCACTTTCTAGAACATTCTCATAGCTGCACTACAAACATTGACTCTTCCCATGAAATTTGCCATCTGTGATACCTGTCAGAAGTTGTCACCCTTCTGTGGTTAGATGAGGTTGAAGTTGACCAGTAAATTTGGGAGTAGAAGGTGATATAGTAGAAAATGGTGGAGACATTGGAGAGAGAAGGATTAATGTTTCTTTTTTACAAAGCAAGAAAATAACATGAATGTATGAGTCCAAGGTAGAGGGTTACACAGGCAGTCTTGCCCAGTGTAAAATTCTTCCCCAGAAATATGGATTTATAATTACTACTCCCACAGGCCTCGTCTTCCAGTCAGACCTAGTTAGCAATACTGTCGAGAAGCATTAAAGGATTGGCTTAGAGTTTTTGGCTTTTCTAAATGGAACTGTATTTCAAAAAATGATATCCATGAGAATATCAGTGGAAATAATTTCTCAGCATTTAATATTTACTTATAATGATCTCTCATTTTTTACTTATTCATTCTTAACATTATTGGATAGACTGTATTGTGTACTATATACCAGGCCCTGGAGTAGGTGCTAAGGAAGCAGAGATGCCTCAAACAAGGACTTTTTCTTTAAAAATCAATGGTTTAGGGACCAGCAGATGGTGTTATGGTTATGTCACTGGACTCCCATGTTGTTGACTGCAGTTTGAGTCCTGGACCTGGTGGCTTAAACTCATGCTGGGCAAGTATGCGTATGTGCCCAAGATCCTGAGAGGAGAATGAGGAGAAGGGATTGTGGCATGACCAACCCCAGGCGGGGGAAACACCCCTTGGGGGGTTGTGGGGGGTGTAGGGTGATTTCTCACTTCCTCTCTCTCTCTCTCTCTCTGTTTTTCTGGTGAGTGCATGTGCCCTGTAGCAAAAACAAAACCAAACCAAACCAAAAAAAACTCTCAGGAAAAAATAATCAATGGCTTATAAAAGACGAGAGGATGATAGGCATGTAAATAGTTCATTTCCCTGAAGTGTTGTAGGTGCTGAGGAAGGTGTGTTCTGGGAGACTGTGGGGGAATGAAAAGAAAAATTGGTCAGATCTACCCAGTTGGCGGTGGGAGAGAGGGTTCCTCGAGGAGGTGTCCTTTTGAACTGAAGCCTTAAAGATGCAAAGGCATTCACTAGGTAGATAAGATAGGGTAAGGGAATTCTAGATAGAGAAAAGATCATGAACAAGACAAGTGTTAAAATGCATTTTTCAGCCATCGCATTGGTATTTATCAGTTCTAAGGTATGCCTGTTTTCACATCGCAGCATCTCTGAAATCTGGACACCATGCACTAGTTTAACTGGCAGCTCATGTTCTTACTGGTACATAGGATAATGGTACCTTCTACAGTATAGGCCATTTTAGATTTAATATACTTTACCATCAAGTAAGTAGTGGTTCTTGAGTATTCAGTTCTAGCTGCTAATATGTGTTCTTTTTAGGAGTAGATAGATATTAATATCTTTTTATTGAAGAGGAATCAGGAGTGAAATGACTGAATTCCTTAGAAGATGTGACATTCAGTTTGACAGACTACTTGACATCTGATGTTGCTTTTAATAGCAATGACTGGTAGCAATGGAACCTAGGGAGAGAATTCGGTGTCTTGTACACTGGACTCGGTTATGAACCATCACACTGCCTTTTTCCCAGGTAAAAAGTGAGTTTGAAAGTAAATGCATGTAGCTTATTGTAATTTGTCAAAATATTAAATATATGATACATTACATAGAAATATGTCTACTACTCTTGATATCAAGTTGAAACCCTGATGGTTTGATGTTTTATGAGTTATAAAAATAGTATCTAGCTTATCTTTCAAGGCACAAGAATATGGATCAGCTATAAGCTACAATTATTTCATGTATCTGAAATAAATTAAAGAATTTTCTGTTGGAGATAGTGATCTTGGAAAGTATCCAAGGAAGAATCTAAGCAGTACAGAATCTAAGCTTAAGCACATGGGTGTCATGAAAATACTCCAGTAGAATTGATTTCTGCTTTCTCATTAAATCCCTGTGTGACCTTGGGCAAGTCAAATAGCACTTGGAATTTAGATTTCTAGATGACTGGACCAGAGCAGGGTTCCTACCAGCCATCTTGAGATGTGACTGCATTGCTCCAGTATTTTCTTTGTGCTTTGGTCTGGGGGCTCATGGAAGAGAATGTTAGAAAAGAAGACAACTACTGATGTAACTTATGGGAAAACAGAATAGAAAGCCATGCCCCCAGGGCTAAGGAAAGGTAAGGCAACAGCTTTCCACCTATTTTGATTTAAAATATGTTAGTGAAGAAGATGGAAAGTTAGATGAGAAAAATTTTGAGACTGACTTTTATTTAACTTGTTAAAAACTGAGATCTTATTTATGTTTATGTGCTAGAAATGGGAATGGTATGCATGAGAGTTGACTGGGTAGTTGGCAAAAAAGTATTTGATAAAGTATATCCATGTAAAAGGAATGTCTAGAATGATTCAGCTATTATTATTTTTTATAAATGAGACATGGCAGTGTTTGCTTTTTTCCTCTTTGCTTTTCACTTTTCCATAATGACACAGATTCTTGTGATTTTCTCCTTTTTTTTTTTTTTTTCTTTCCCCTTTGGGTAGGTACTGAATTAATTGGCAAATTGTTGCTAATGAAAATGAAAAATCTATGTCGAATTTGGTTACTATGCAGCTTTTCAAATGAGAGTTTTGCTTATGGGTCTCTGATCCTGATATTTTTTAACTGGGTGTAAGTGTAATGACAATGTTTTGGGATAAAAAGGAAAAATCAAGATTAGAGAGAAACAACCAGACTATTTCCTCTTAAAGAGTTTTTTGGAAATCCAGATTCGGAATGGATTAAACCAGTTAATTAGGTTTTTTTCCTGCAGTATCCACTTTCCTTTCTTGGTGATTTAAGATATTAGCTATTCTAGGATAAAACTTGGTTTGATACAGGTAATCCCATATACTTATCACCTTAAACAATTAGATAGGAATATTATAAAAGATGATTCTTCATATAACTGGGCGCTACATGGAACGAGTAAAATTTAAGCACATTTTATGTGAATGGTTATTATGGAAGGGTTTCTCTTGTAGCATTATGGCACTTTTATTGGAATTAGAGAAAGCTTTTTGGTATCACCAATATTTTAAAAAAAAAAAAAAAACAGTCTAAGGACTGTCTCTAAAGATGGGCCCTGATATAAGTGTGCACATATGTGTATTTACTGATTTCTGCTATAAGGGACATGAAACTTAACCTGATTCATTTGTTTTTAGGGGCTCTTGGCTTTGGGCCTCAGTGCAAGTCGTTTGGAAAAGGCAGCTGCAACAATCTAGTGGTCACCAGCAGTCCCATGATGGTTCAGCGACTGGGACCCATTTCACCTCCAGCAAGCCAGGTCTCCACAGCATGCAACCAGATCAGTCCTAGCTTACAGAGGGCAATGAATGCAGCCAACCTGAATATACCTCCTTCAGATACCAGGTCTCAAGTTACTTTTTTTTTTACCTCCTTCTTTATGGTATAATCACACCCACAAGTGTTTTCCCTTCCTTCCTGAACACACTCATGTGCACATGCACACACATACACACACACACACATATGCACAATAGCAATCTCAAGCAAGTCTTAAAATTTGAACCTCATAGAAGAGTTGTTGAAAAACAAAGTATGTGCCATAATGTCATCTTAATCAGGAGGAATGGTTTAATCCCTGAAGTTTCATGGTGTGTGTAAAGTCAATATTCAGTTTGAGATTTGAGAGCCTCAATAATTGAAGCCCCCAAAGTGTGTAAATTTGTCTATTCCATGAAGTAAGTCATGTTGTTAGCCTAGCAAACCGAGATGTTCCAGCTACACCTATCTTATCTGCTAGGTTTTCATTGCATGTGTCGTAGAGTCTCCAGGTTGATTTATAATCTGTTTAGTCTATCTAGCCATCAACCCATCTAACCAAGTATTTATTAAGTACTTACTGTCTGATTAATACAATAGTTGAAGTTTAGGGAGATAGTGGAGAGAATAAAGGTAGAGACCATGAATTTCAAGGCTCCATGATCTATCTCAGAAGACATACTTTCATGTGAGAGTTTCAGTACAGTATCAGAGTGGGTGCTCTAATGAGTAGGTACAATAAATGCTATGTATCTATCTCAGTGGAAGAGAATTGAACAGAAAAGGGAAGTTGCCCCTTCAGACAAAATTTTATCTCTCAAGGTAGATATTAGAGGGAGGAATATAACCAAAATAGTGTACAATGTTTAAGGTCTTTTTCTCTCTGTTTGAAGTAAAGTATTTCATCTTCTAAAAGTTACCTTCTTGGAAAAGCCCACTCTAAAGTGTTTGCCTCTTAGTCCTGGTTCTGATTTTACAAAGGAATTCACTTTCTGGGGCTCCACCTCCTGCTCTTGGGGGCTGTTGCCCACTAAGTTACCCTGTGGTTCTGAGAGCCTGTTTCTTCTTTCTGTCCTTCCTCCTTTTCCTCTCCAACCCCCCTTCCCCTTTTGTATCTCTGCACTGTCCTGCTAGCCACTATGCGAGACTCTGAAATCATAGTTCCTGGATCATTTATTTATGCCAATTTTTTCATGAGGTAGAATCTTGTTTTTCACCTGAGACTTTTTGTGACGGGAAGCTGCTGTCATTTTTCTATTGATGATTATGCCTTGAGGGACTCCTCAGACTTGCTGAGTGCTGCATGTAAAATTAACTGTGCTTGTGGGGCGGGTGTCATTGGGAAGCCTTCAGCTTCCCATCTGTGGCAAGTCCAGCCCATGCCTTGAAGGCAGAGAGCCATAATTAATGTAGAAGCTGGCAGTAGGCAGCACACAGGCTGCTCAAACCATGTCCCTTATGCAGTTCCTTTCATGGGTCGTCCAGAGAAGGGTCATTATCTCAGTGTTTTCTGGCATATTTTATTCCTTAGCATAATTTTATATCCTTAAAAGATAACACCTTAAAGATGCACTGACAAGTGTTTTGACTATGTATTCTGAGCCCTTCTATGGAAAAAAAAAATTGCAGGATGAGCAAAAAAGCAGGAGACGGGAAGCGGGTCGTTGAAGTATGGAATGTCCTTTTAGCAACTTGGAAAAGTTTTTATTTATTTGTGATCCTTAAACTGGATTGTGCATTGCATCAGAGGAGAGAGGGATAAGGGGCAACAATTCAACTTAAAGGCATTTTACTGCTGGACAATAAAGAGAAGATGGAGAGGGAATCAGTTTAGTGTTTTATCCATCAGCGACATGATGGAGCGAGAAAGGGGATGTATACTGTTCCCTCTGACAGAGGCCTGTCTTTTGAAAAGATGTAAAATATATTTTTCTCCTGACTATCTATGTAATTCCTATTCACTGGAGAAAACATGGGCAATATGGAAAAGCACCAGGCAGTAACGATAATCATCCTGAATCCTATCACCCAGAGACAGCCATGGGTACAATTTTGATATACATCCCCTTGGTTATGTGCTAACACATACATTATAAGCGGAGGCTATAAACACCTTCTATTGTAATAAAAGGTCTCTTCAACATCATCTAATAGCTTCTTTCTACACAAGATTTAATTTCATAAATAAAATTTATGAATAAAACTGTAATTTAAAAATCCATGACAGAGAGTATATGCACAGGCATGAGAGAGAAAGAAAAAAAGAGAGGAGGAAGAAGTACCCTTAACAGTCTCTGGTGACAGCATAATCCCCTTCTCCCATCCTTCCTGTAATTCTTTTTTGTTTGTTTTTGTTTTTGTTTTGTTTGCTAGAGGGTGCATGCACTTGTCAGAAAGAGACAAAGAGACAGAGAGAGGGGGAGAGGAAAAAGCTCTCCTCATAGGCAATGGTCACACTGAAGCTCCCTCTCTCCATCTCTCTTCTTTTTGGATTTTAGGCATGCACACACATGCCCTGCGTGCTTCTCAAGCCTCCAAGTCCAGGACTTAAACAATGTGGTTAGCCATGTGGGATCTGGCTGCCTTAACCACCCAGCCACAAGCTGGCCCTCGAACTTTTATTCCTTGCATTTAATTGTTTACTTTTATTTCAGTTTTATAAATAATGTTTTATTAGATCAACTGTGTGAGTAATTTCCTGCCTGTATGTAATAACAGAATAATTTCTTAGAGGGCCACCCCTGTAGTGCAGCTGTTAAGTGCTGTGTGGAGTGAGCTGGTTCTCACCCACAGTGAGGTTGGAGTCTGCCCCAGTGTGCACATTTGTACAGTGCCCATGACCTTCACGGGAGAGAGGAATGGAGGAAAGGGGATTTCAGTGTGACCAGGCTCCACTCAGGGTGTGCTTCCTCTCTCTCTCATATAAGCACATGGTCTCTAGCACTAAAAGAAGAAGAAATTCCTAGAAGCAAAATCTGCTGGGTTAGGTACTCATGCCGGACGCATGTGTGTACAAACACAAAATCCTGAGAGGAGAATGGAGGAGAAGGAATTGTGCTGTGGCCATCCCTCCTGGGGGGTGATTTCTTGCTTTCTGACTCTGTCTCTGTCTCTCTCTCCAGTGAGTACATGTGCCCTATTGCAAAAATCTCTCAAAAAATTTTTTGTTAGGTTAAAAGAAATATACAGTTTTGTATCTTTTGCTATATATTCTCAAATTGCACTGCAGAAAAGACTTATCCATTTATTAACTCACAGTCTAATAGAATGACAGTTTTCTCAGAACTTATCAAATGCTAGGTATTATTTTATAATTCTGCCAGTTTGCTGTGCAAAATATTATCATAATTTGCATTTCTTAATTACTGATAATATTGAATACTTTTCAAAGATGTATTTGGCTGTATCCTTTCTTTTGGCTTTCTTTCAGTGTTGTTCTTTTGGGGTGTTTATTTTGAGAAAAACCACTTCTTCCTGAGCTTTGTTGGGTTCTATTTAACCCAGTGAAAAGAATCATGCCCAGTGTTGTGCATTTGCCTTGATTAATTCCCAATCATTTCTGACTAGTCCCTTTTAATGATAAAGGCAAACTGTACCTTATCATCCTGAAGACCCAGAAGCCATTCCAAATGTAGGGCAATGTCCGAATTGCAATACAGAGGTCATTAAGTATTCATTTCCCCAAGAATGACAAGGCTGAGGTGCTATTATGATAACCTTATACAATAGCTTGATGGGAAAAAGCTGAGTAATAGAAGAGATCAGATGTTACTTGCATGGGTTCTGTATATATTTAGCTTTTCTATTTTTTTAAATTTGTTTCTTTATTTATGGTCATTCACTGTACATCAATACAGTATGTAAATGAGATTTTCCATCCAGTATACATTGTATATTGTCTCAATCAAGGATTTAACCATACATACATGTTATCATCAATAAATAATTTTCTATTTCTTGTTTCTTATATGTTTTGCTTTTTTCCCTCCTCGATTCCCTGCCTCTCACCCTCTGCCAATTCCCTCCCATCTTCCACACTGTCTCTAATATGGACAGTTGTTTTCCATACTTTTTTTTTTATATTTTATTGCTTCACTATAGATCTTAATTAATTTAAATACTTTCAATAGCAAGCACAGCTGATATATACATATTTATGAATGCATGTCCGACTTTAAGTGTAAACCTCAGTGAGTAAAGTGAAAATACTATAAAGTAACACCTCACTGGGGCTATATAGCCTATTGCAGTCATTAAATAGGTATTAATGGGTATTTTTTAATGCATTTTTTTAATTTCAAAAATAAGTTTGTTTTAATCTATCAAAATAAAAAAAAAGTCAAGAGAAATTTGCTTAAAACTTAAAACCAGAAAAAAGATTAGGATTCAGTTCAATTAGTAGGTAGATGAACCTATTAATTGAAGATTAGTAGGTTCAAGAGAAGACAAAAATCCTTAAATATGGAAATCAAAGCATCAAAGAAAATGAGTAATGTTTTAGTCTAAAGTAAAAAATGTATATATTTCACTGGTTCAAACCCACATAATTAATCTCTCTTCTATTGAATTTGCAGTGTTACTATGGGCTGATCTTTCCATTTAAACTCTGGAAGTTAACATTCAACTCTGGACTTGTCCCTACCATTAGGCTGGCCATTCTCTTACCATTGGGCTGGCCATTCTCTTGGTCGTTTCTTGTACTCTTATTTCTGTGTGTCCGACTTTCATTTTCCTGCTATAGCACTCCCTTTAGCACTTCTTGGAGAGCTGGTCTGGTGTTGGTAAAGTCTTTCAGGTTTTGTTTATCTGAGAATATTTTTGTCTTCTTTTTTCCATATGAAAGATAATTTTGCTGCTTATAGTATTCTTGGTTGAAGTTGTTTTTCATGTAACACTTTGAATTTATTTTCCCATTCTTTTCTTGCTTAAATTGTTTCTGATGAGAGGTCTGACATTAGCCTTATGGGATGGCCTTTGAAAGTAACTTGATGCTTCTCTCATGCCAATTTTAGTATGTTTTCTCTGTCTTTTTCCATATGAAAGATAATTTTGCTGCTTATAGTATTCTTGGTTGAAGTTGTTTTTCA